TTATCCTTTTCCAAATTATTCTACTACCATTTATATAAACTCAGTCTCCCCTAAGCAAAAACTCTCCCTCTCCTTCCATCCCTAGTAATCACTAATAATCTTTGGATTCTATATATCTGCTTATTTCATATAAGTGAGATCATACAGTATTTGTCCTTTTGTGAGTGACTTTATTTCACTCAGCATGTTTTCAAGGTTCATCCATGTTGTGGCATGCATGCATCAGGACTTCATTTCTCTTTATGGCTGAGTGGTATTTCATTGTTCTGTATAAACCACACTTTGTTTATCTACTCATCTGTTTATGGACATTTTGGTTATTTCCACCTTTTGGCTATTGTGGAAAGTGCTGCAGTGAACATTGGTGTATAGGTTTCTGTTTGCATTCTTGCTCTCAATTCTTTTGGGTATATACCTAGGATTGGGATTGCTGGACCATATGGTAATTCTATGCTCAACTTTCTAAGGAAATGCCAAAAACTGTTTTCCACAGTGGCTGTACCATTTTACATTCCCCCTAGCAATGGATGAGGGTTGATTTCCTTGAACTTTTAAGTAATCATTTTGAAAGTCAAAAATAAAGATCTCTTTCCTCTTCCTGAACGTTTAGTTTAACCTTGTTTTGTAAACTACGTCCACTGATTATACACTATTGTTATTTCCCCCCCACGTAATGTATTTACTTAGTTTTGCCTCGATGTTTATCAGATAATCTCTTTGTTCACCACTGCTTTCTGCAACCTACCTTTTTTATGGATCCATTATACATTTTACAGAAGTACATCCTTCAGCAGTTCTTTCCACAGGGCTCTGTTTGTAATTTACTCTGTCTGCATGACTAAGTCTGCCTTTATTTTACCTTTACTCTTGAATGATAGTTTAGTATGTAATTCTAGGTTGATTGTTATCCTTCAGTGTTCTGAAAATGTTATTCCTTTGTCTTCTGATTATTGTTGCAGATAAGCCTGGATGGCTTTTCACATGATCTTTTCTGAAGCTTTTGTTTTTCCTCTGTGCTCAGTGTTCTGTATTTTCATTCTTGTATGGATCGATTTATCCTACTTGGGATTCAGTGTGCCCTTTAAATCTGAGGGCTGTTTCTGTCCTAAATCCTCAAGGACTCTCAGCTTTTCCTTGGCAAGTGTCTCTCCCATGTATTCCCTCTTCTGATCTCCTACTAGACACATTTTGAAGCATTTCATTCTATCCTCCATATTTTACTGTTTCTTATTTTCCGTTTTTATCTCTCTGTACTGCATTCTGGGTGATTTTCTTAAATCTGTGTTCCAATTTACTAATTTTCTCTTCGGTTATGTCTGATCTTTTGTTTAACTTGTACACTGAGGTTTTGCTTTGTTTCAATGGCTATATTCTTCATCTTTAGAAGGTCTATTTAGTTCTTTTTCAAATCCATCTATTAAAAAAAAAAACTATCTTGGTTTACCTTATCATTTCCATTGCTTTTATCTCTTCAAACATGTTAAGCATACTCATCTTAAAGTTTCTTTCAGATTATTCTATTATTACTAGTTCCTGGTGGTGTACCACTTCTCTACCTTATGCTGGCTGAATTCCTGTCTTTCATTTCCTCTTCTTTTTTTGTACACAGAGGAGGGAAGAAAGCTTTCTTCCCAGCTCAGTCCAAAATTATCAAAGTAGGGCAAATGTCTTCCCACAGGAAGGAGGTCTTTGTTTCCTTAGACAAAGAGACCACTTTGGGGCTTGCCCTGTCAGACCTCCAGGGTGCCCCCATATCTTTGAATGGGTACCAGGTACTCAGTACCTATCCCTGAGCCCGTTCCCCACCCCATTAGTCTTCCATGATATCCTGCCATCTCTGAATGAGTACTAAGTGGTGAATTAAAGTTAGTTCTGAGAATTTTCCAACATCTGACCCTGTGTAACCTTGGAAAAATTATTTACTTATCTTTCCTGTAAACAAAGGCATCTTCCTTATTTAGGAGAAAAAGATTAGTGTAAGTATTATAAAACACAAATAAAACTACAGAGGAAAGGTGGCACATGGTTTCTTAAAAACAAATAGTTTAATTTCATTTTTATCTGGAAAATAACAAATCCAAGTTGTTTAAAATGAAACGACAAGCATTTCGAAATGTCATCAGGTATCATTTTTAATGGTATTACACTTATTCAAGATGTGAAGATCTTTATAAAGTTCTGGAACCAAAGATTCCCACTACAGATGAAAACAAGTTGGTTACAAAATGTCAATTCATTAAATATTCCATTTTTGCAGGGAATATTTTATAGAAACATCATATAAAATAAGGCCTACTTTTGGAAATTCAATGATAAAATTTTAGAAAAAAGTCTTAACTTTTCTTTGCAAACCAAGAGTATAATTTTACCTTGGGGAGTCACCTGCAAAGCCCATCAGATGTCTAGCACTGTTTCAGAGCTCCGGTTTCTATACAGTAGAAGGCTTTCTCCTTTTGTTCTCAATAAGACCCGCCAACAAAACAGCTTTTTCCAATTAGCATCAATCAACAAAGAGTTTAACATACACAAATATTTCTATAGTGCAGTAAAAATGCATTTTATATTTTTAATTTGCATTATGAAAATAAGTCTGTACACCAAGTAATGCATATTTTATGAATATGAATCATGTAAATTTGGTCATGGCATTTAAAGTTGGCTTTAGCTTTAAAGTATTTTTAAATTCATAGAAAATATTGAACTTCTAACAAAATAAATAGAACATTTTAATAATTGATATTAATAATCAACTTGAAAATTTTTGTTTTTCATTTGCTACTCAATTTTAAGTCACTTTCAGTTAACGACTGCACCTTCTATGATGTGAAAAAAGTTGCTACAGATCCAGTTGCCATTAGCTGTTCTTAGGTGCTGAACATAACTGAGAGAAATTGTTTGCAATAAGACATTCTCTATCACCGGCAGGAAAGCCATCAACAGCCTTTGCATGGGCGCTCCTGGCCTAGTGTTCTAACATAGCGCCGATGCAAAACATGTTGTTCGTGTGACTTTCTGAAGAGCCCCCGCAGGAGGCCCAAGCTACAGTGGCCAAGTCTCACTTTATGGCAGTGGCATCGGACTGTGGCTGCAGAAGGTACTGGTGTCTCCAGGTGCTTTCTCACAGGCTCTGCAGACCTGGGGACGGTTCTGCCTAATACTGAAAGGACCAAGGAACTCTGGCTGCCCTCAGGTTTTCCAAAATGACCCGAGGGACAAAGCTTGAGGGCCCCGGGCAGTGTAGCGCTATTGGGGAGGTGGTCGGAGGCTGCGTAGCTTCATTTCATCCAGTCCTCTCCAGTACTTAAAGTTGTTGTCAAGGTTCTGCATTAAATCCGGCAGGTCGACAAAGGCTGGAGAAAAAGATGGGACTGTGACATCCTTGCACAGCCTCAGGTTAGAGGTTTAGGTTTTCTAATGAGAGAGCCTTTTAAGGAAGAGGGTTAATAGTAGTCATTTGCATAATGCTATATAGACCCCAGAGCCCTGGTGGCACAGTGGTTAAGAGTTTGACTGCCAACCAAAAGGTCTGCAGTTCGAATCCACCAGCCGCTCCTTGGAAACCCTATGGGGCAGTTCTATTCTGTCACTATGAGTCAGAATCAACTTGATGGCAACGGGTTTTTTTTTTTTATATAGACCCAGATGGAGCCCTGGTGGCACAGTAGTTAAAGCGCTTGGCTGTCAACCAAAAGGTAGATTCAAACCCACTAGCCACTCCACAGTGGCAGTCTGCTTCCATAAAGATTACAGCCTGGAAACCCTTTGCAGCAGTTCTACTCTGTCCTATAGGGTTGCTGTAAGTCAGAATCGACTTGATAGCAACAGGTTTTGTTTTCTTTTTTATACAGACAGGCAAGTAGACACACAGCAGCTAAACAGACACAAAGCAGCAGCTTGAGTTAGCCATGGTTTACTGAAGTTGAATCCTGTACTCAATGCCAGCACCTCTACGGCCACTTGTCGAGCTGATAACTTTGGAAAATAGATGGTAGCTAATCTGTTTGGTGACACAACGGTTAAACTCTTGGCTACTGTCAGAAAGGTTGGCAGTCTGAACCCACCAGTGGCTCCATGGGAAAAAAGACCTGGCAATCTGTTCCCATAAAGAGTATAGCCCAGGAAACCTTCTGGGGGCAGTTCTGCTCTGTCCTATAGGGTCGCTATGAGTTGAAATCGACTCGATGGCACACAACAACAATCTGTTCAATTATCATTTAACCAGCATCCTTGAGCCTGGAGAATCAGGAGCTGGGAGCAAACACGTAGTGAGTCCCTACCCTATGGCAGTGCCCAGTCCCGAATGGCTCGCCCGTGTTCCCCCACAGATACTGTTATGGATTGAACTGTTTCCCAAACAAGACATGAGGAAGCCCTAATCACCTGTGAATGGGACCTTTTTTGGAAACAGGTTTTTTTCTTATCAGTTAAGGCAGTGAGGTCATCTGGAGTAGGGTGGGTTATAATCCTAATCCCATCTGAGTGATGTCTTATAAAATGGTAGCTCAGGCACAAAAACAGACGGGGGAAGATGACGCCATGTGAAGATGCATGCACAAGCCAAAGAAGGCCAAGGAACATCCAGGGCTACAGAAGCTGGAGGAGACAAGGAAGGACCTCGCCCTAGAGCCAAGAGAGACAGAACAATACCCTACCAATACACTGAATTTGGACTTCCAGCCTCCAGAACTGTCAGAAAATATTTTTTTGTTCTTTAAAGCCACCCACTTTGTGGCATTTTATTGTGGCAGCCCTAGGAGACTGAGACATATGTCATCTCCTTCCACCAGTACACGTCACTGACAGGCGGGTGGTGATCAAGCGATTTCACAAAGGAGGAAAATGAGGTCTAAGTTCTGGAGGCAGGAGCTGCAGAGCTTGCAGTCTGCCCCCACAGCCACAGATCTTTCCACTGCCTCAGTCCTTCTCCCCGACCAGGAAGCCTCATTCTGCTGGCCTTGGAGTGCCCTATGACCTGCACCCATCTTGAGATGTGCGCTATTTCCTCCTGACTGGATCTGAATCAAGTCCTTGGATCTGGATACTATCTGCCCTGCAGCCCGTCCCCAAAGTGCAGCTCAGGGCACAACAGGTGCCCAGGCAATGTCCTGGAATCCTTATCTGTTAGTCCTCTGACTGGCTCCTGTGTCCCCACCTGAAGGAGAATGATATGGCTCTGTCAGACGGCTCTGCTAGTGGGTGTGGTGCAAAGGGAGCCTGGGAGAAGCTGGGGCGGGCAAAGGGCTTTGGAGTAAGCACTAAACCAAACCAAACCAGTTGCCACTGAGTTGACTTTGACTTATGGCGACCTCACACGTGTCAGAGTAGAACTGTGCTCCATAGGATTTTCAATGACTGATTTTTCAGAAGTATATCTCCAGGTTTTTCTTCCGAGGTGCCTCTGAGTGGACTTGAACCTCCAACCTTCAGTTAGTAGCCGAGTGTATTAACTGTTTGCAGTACAGGGACTTCTGGAGTAAACACTAATGGTTTTGAATCCTAGATTCTGTACTAGTAGCTGTATGACCACAAGTTCAATTTCCTCATCTATAAATCCGGTATAATGACCCCTATACCTCCAGGGGGGTTAATGAGGAAATGCACAGAAAGCACCCAGCTCTCAGGGGCCCTTGGTGATGGTTCATTTTTTCTCCTCACTCCCCCTTGAAGACCTAAGTCCCAAAACATATTCCAGAGTCAAATACACTATTTACCATTCCATATTCAGTTCCCTATTATGAAAGTTACCCAAGACTCACTGGGAGAATAAATATGGCAAGTCTTTGTGTATGTAGGGGCAGTTATGCCAACTTCCCAGAAGAAAACAACGTGCCAGGGTGTTAAAGTCTAACGCTATCAAACTGCAGCCTCGTTCCTGTTTCCTGGGAAAATGATAGGGGAACTTGTATTTTAAATCCTGTCCTTCAATTCACAGTTGTTACCTAAATAACCCAGCCCCTATTTAGTTTCAGAAATTCTACCCCAGAAAAGGTCCCAGCATCTATCTGAATGGGGACTCCCTGCTCCATTTGATAGTGTCAGGGAGAAGGCACCATCTTCAATGGTGAGGTTTCTCAGGGTGGGAATGAGAAGAATGTTTACGTTTGGACCCATGCTACAAATCTTATCTTAAAATATGCTATGGGATTTCTTACCGTCCCAAGAATCAAACATGTCTGTGATGAAGTAGTCAATGAAAGAGATTTGAGATTTGGGGATGCTGCAAGTGTTTCTGTCAAAAACCGGCATCACCACAGGTAAGCCTTTCCGCTTCTCTTCATCCGTCTGCAATGCAGAAAATGTCCTGATTATGCGACTCTAGTAGCTGGCTCTAAGACCTGGGAGCAGCCGCTCCACCAGAGCCTCCCTCCTGGCAGCCCACGGTGGCTTGTGGTAAGAAGCTAATCACAGCAATAGCCAACCAATCCCAGATCTGCTATCACCTACTGAGTTGTTCTCAGAATGGGGACGACTCCATTCTACCAGGGGGCTTGAGCACATCCCAATCCAACCAACATTTTCACCACTGGTAAGCCTCCTTTCTGAAGCTCCACAGGAAAGATCCCACAGAGTATCTGTTGGTGTGCGAGTACACTAGTGAGCTACCTCTCTGGGCTGAGTTGGTCCTGCCACCCTGCAGCCATCCTCCTGGCCAGCAAATGTTTGAAGTGCCAGACACAGAGGATACAGTGGTGAGAAACACAGCCCCGCCTTCCCAGAGAGAGGTCTAGTGCTGCTTCTCATCTGGGGTCAGGTTATTTTCTTTGAAAAGTTTCTCAATGCCCTTGAGATCCTGGAGGCAAATAACACAATAAGTCAAAGAGATTTTATGTACTTTAGTCGAGCTCTTTCAAAACATCTTCAGGATTCCAGAGAGACTTGTAAAAAATGGAAACCATAATTAAGACAGTGGTGGTAAATGGCAAGTTAATCTCAAAAGGTATCAGGGAGCTTCTAGGTGTTTCTTTGATAAGGTCTGTTTCCTCCAAGGTGTCCTTGGAGAAGAGGGTGAGGTGATGCCCACAGGGCAGTAAGGAGGCCACGGGGCTTCCAGGAAAGCAGAAGGCTGTTTATTACTCAAGAGGGTACGCAACCAGAATCATCGGGCTCTCTCTTGGAACCAGGGAGCCAGTGCTGTGAGCTAAGGTCAGATGGGGGGGAGGGGGCAAACAGCCACCAAGATACAGGATGATGGAAAGGACTGCCCACAGGATCAAGTAAGGGCAGAACAGAATGGGGTAGGCGGCTCAAAACTAAACTTGAGCCTTAGGCAGGACCTAGTACATGCGTGGGGTCAGGGCAAGGGGATGTGGCTGGAGGAGCTGCCGTATTAGACACTAGCATTTCTCCCTCGCTGGCAAGGGTGCGGCCACCCCTCTGGGGATTCCTCTGGCTCTGGAAGGCATGGCTGACCTTAGAGGCACTTGGAGCCATTATCCCTGACTGTTGAAGCAGCTAGTGACAGCCTGCGGTGCAGGCTGCTCTGTCAGGCCAGGTTTATTAGGGAAGGGGCTGCTCCACACGGAAGAAAGACAATGGAGTTAATGACTTCAGGAAACCCAACGTGGGGGCAGAAGTTGGTCCTACAGGGGTATATATATACTGGGACTAGAGATCTAGGCCAGGTTTCCTACCTGGAATGGCTTTCTTTGGAGCGCCTGCAGTGGGGACCCCCTAAGCTCTCAGGGGCTAGGGCTGTGGTGAGAGACAAGGGCTAGGTGTAGATGGTGCACACTGGGCTCTGATGGGCTGAGCTCTGTTGGCCATTTTGGGCTGTGGAAGTGCTGGTCTCAGGGTGGAGGACCTGTGAGTAGCTACACTGAATGCAGACAAGAATGTGAGCGTTCAGCATGACCAAAAGAAACCCTCTTCTGGGGCTGGGAGCCTGTCCACCCCAACCCTAACCCTTGGAACTGTTCCCAGGGAACATTCAGGGACACTGATGAGGTTCATCATGTTATGCAACACCACTTTCCTTTTCCGAATTATTCCACCACCATTAACAGAAACTCAGTGCTCCCCTTATAGTTAAGATTCCCGCTACCCCTCCTTCTCAGTCCTGTTATTTTGTGTGGTGATGAGTCATTTCTGACTCACATCGACCCTATAGGACAGGGAACTGCCCCATAGGGTTTCTTAGGCTATAATCTTTTAATGGAGCAGATCACCAGGTCTTTCTCCTGTAGAGCTACTGATGGGTTTGAACCTTCAGTCTTTCATGCTTAACCATTGCGTTACCAGGGCTCATTTCTCACCCCTAAACCAAAAGAAACCAAACCCACTGCCACTGAGTCAATCCTGACTCATAGTGACCCTACAGGACAGGGTAAAACTGCCCCGCAGGGTTTCCAAGGCTGTAAATCTTTACGGATGCAGACTGCCACATCTTTCTCCCATGGAGCAGCTGGTGGGTTCGAACTGCTGACTTTTGGTTAGCAGCCAAGCACTTTAACCACTGTGCCACGCAGGGCTCCTTTTCTCACCCCTAGTAACCACTAAAAATCTTTGGTCTTTATACATTTGCCTATTGCATGTAAGTGGGATCATACAGTATTTTACTCAGCATGTTTTTAAGATTCATCCATGATACAGGATGTATCAGGACTTCATTTCTATTTATGAAATTCTACATGTATACCACCTTTTGGCTATTTTAAACAGTGCTCCAGTGAACACCGATGTACAAGTTTCTGTTTGCACTCTTGTTATTAATTCTTTTGGTATAACTAGGATTGGGATTGCTGGATAATATGCTAGTTCTATCTTTAACGTTTTGAAGTAACTGTTTTCCACATGGGCTATACCATTTTGCATTCCCATGAGCAGCCTGTGAGCCAGAGCCCTGCTGTCTGACCTGCCGATCTTGAGTTTGCCAGCCCTTGCAGCTACGTGAGCCCTACAGCCAGCCCCATGTAGTTGGGACTTTCCAGCCTTTACAACCACATAAATCTCTCTCTATATATATATTTATACACTTTACTGGTTTTGCTTCTTTAGAAAGCCCAGCCTAAGACAATATTCATAAGGGATATTGGTCTGCATTTTTCTTTTATTGTAGTGTTTTTGTCTGGTTTGGTATCAGAGTGATGCTAGCATCATACAGTGAGTTAGGAAGTGTTCCTCTATGTGAATTGTCTGTTCAAATATCTGACCATTTTTAATTGGGTGGTTTGTCTTTTTGAGTTACAGTTCTTTATATATCCTGAATATGGTCCTTTGTCAGATATGTTTTGTAAATATTTTCTTATAGTGTGGCTTGCCTTTTCATTTTCTTAACTATGTTTTGATGAGTGTAAGTTTTAGATTCTGATTAACTCTGTCAAATTTTCTTCTTATGATTGTTGTTTTCCGTGCCTTAGAAATCTTTGTCCACTGTGAAGTCACTGAAGATATTCTGCTATGATTTTTCTCTAAAAGCTCCTGGTTTTAGTTTTTATATTTAGGTCTATGATCCATCCTGAATTAATATTTCTGTATGGTATGAGGTAGAAGTTGTGGTTCGTTTTTTGCATATGGATAATTTATTCCAGCACTACTTGCTGAAAAGATGTCCCTTTCCTCATTGAGCATTTAAGTGTGGTCTATTTCTGGGATTTCTATTTGGGTCCATTGATTGTTGATCTTTATACCAGTAATCCACTGTCTTGATAATTTTATCAAGTCTTGAAACCAAATAGTTTAAGTCTTTCAACTTTGTACTTTTTCAAGGTTGTTTTGCTTTGCAAGGTCCTTCATATTTTCATATAAATTTTACAATCATTTGTCAATTTCTAAAAAACAACAAACAACCTCCAAAACAAAATATCTGCAGGGATTTTAACTGGGATTGCATTGATTCTACAGATCAATTTGAGGACAAGTGAATCTTAGCAACATTGAGCCCTCCAACCTATGAACTTGGTATACCTCTCCATTTATTTAAGTGTTCTTTCATTTCTTAGCAATGTTTTGTGTTTTTCAGAGTAAATGCACATCTGGCACGTTTTTATTAAAGTTATTCCTAAGTAATTTATTTTGAAACTTTTTTTCCTAGGTAAATTTTGTTTTTATTGCTATTGGAAGTGGAAATGTGTTTTTAGTTTCATTTTCCAACTACTTGCTACTAGTATATAAAATACAACTGATTTTTATAAATTGAGCTTGTGTCCAATGACCTTGCTAAATCAAAATTACTTATTCTGGAGTCCTTGGATGGTGCAAATGGTTAAGTACTCAGCTACTAACTGAAAGTCTGGCAGTTCAAATCCACCTAGAGGCACTGGAAGAAAGAGGCCTGACAATCTACTTTTGAAAGATCACAGCCACTGAAAACCTTATGGAGCACAGTTCTACTTTGAAATACATGGGGTTGCCATGAGTTGGAATCCATGAGTTGGAATCGACTTGACAGCAACTGTCTTTTTTTTTTTTTTTTGATTATTATTGTTGTTAGATGCCGTCGATTCTGACTCACAGTGACCCTATACAACGGAGTAGAACTGCCTCATAGGGTTTCCAAGGAGCAGCTGGTGAATTCGAACTGCTAACGTTTTTGGTTAGCAGCTGAGCTCTTAACCACTGTGCCACCAGGGCTCCCCTTTTTTTTTTTAAATTAGTTCTAGTAATTGTTTTGTACATTCCTTACAATTTTCTACATAAAAAATCATGTCATCCACAAATAGAAACAAATTTGTCTTATTTTCTGTTCTTTATACCTTTTTTCCCTTGCACCTTACTGGCTAGGACTGCCAGTACAATGCTGAACAGAAGGGTAAGAATGGGCACCCCTGTCTTGTTTTCAGTCATAGACAGAATACATTCAATATTTCACCACTCAGTATAATGTTAGCTGAGGATTTTCATAGATGCCTTTTTTTGAGCAAGTTCCTTTCAATTCATCGTTTGCTAAGATTTTTTTATGATGAATGGATGTTAAATTTTGTCAAATGATTTTTCTATATCTACTAAAATAATCATATGGCTCTTCTCTTTTATTCAATTAGTATGGTTAATTATAATAATTGATTTTTTTTAATATATTACTAACCTTGTATTCCTGGGAAAAACCATACTTGTTTATATTATTGTCTTTATATATTGTTCAATTCCGTATCTTTGCATCTATGTTCATGAGGAATAACGGACTATAATTTTATCCGCTATTACGGTAATAACAGCCTTGTAAAATGAGTTGGGAAGTATTCACATCACCTCCATTATCTGATAATTTGTAAGACTGGTGTTATTTCCTCCTTAAATGTTTGATAGAATTCATCAGTAAAACCAACTGTATTTATCAAAGAATGTGCCCATTTCTTTTGTCAAATTTGTTGGTATAATGTTGTTCATAAGGAGCCCTGGTGGTGCAGTGGTTAAAGTGCTCAGCTGCTAATTGAAAGGCTGGCAATTCAAACCCACCAGCCACTCCGAGGGAGAAAGGTATAGCAGCCTGCTTCCATAAAGATTTACAGCTCTGTCCTATAGGGTTGCTATGAGTTGGAATCGACGTGACAGCAATGAGTTTGGTTTTGTTTGGAAAGTTGTTCAAAATTTTTTATTATCCTTTTAATGTAAGATCTATTGTGACAATCCCTCTTTCATTCCTGATTCCCAATTTGTGTTTTCTCTCGATCAGCCCAGCTAGGTAGGTACTTATCAATTTTGTCAAAGAACTGATTTTTGGCTTTATTTTCTCTACTGTTTTCTATTTCCTTGATTTTTTTTTTTTGCTCTTACTGTTATTTTCTTATTTCTACTTATTTTGGGTTTATTTTGTCTTTTTATAGTTTCTTATGGGTGAAATCTAAGTCACTGATTTTAGGGCTTTTTTAAGATAAGAATTTAAGATTATAAATCTAAGTTCTGTAAATACAGGGTATAGTGTTCTATAAATATTAATTAGGGTAAGGTAGTTGATAGTGTTGTTCAGATTATCTGTCTTAAATGACCTTTTAATCTGGTTGTTCTATCAACTGCTGGGGGGGTTGTTAAAATCTCCAACTATGATTACGGAATTGCCAATTTCTCCCTTGATTCTGTCAATTTTGCTTCATTCATTTTGAAGTTCTGTTATTACATGCATATGTATTTATGGTTTATTATTTCTTCCTATAGAATTGACCCTTTTATCATTATGAAGTGTCCCACTTCGTCTCTAGTAATATTCATTGTCTTGATGTCTATTTTTAAATTATATATTTTTTAATATATACATTATATATAATGTATATATAAACACATTTGCCAAGTCAACATTTTTTAGGTGTAGAATTTAGTGATATCAATTACATTAATCATGTTGTGTAACCATCTATCACTGACAATTTACCTATCACCATAACAAAAACCCAGCACTTCCCAAACAATGACTCCCTCTTTCCCCTCCCCTTCCTCCTCTGGTAACCACAACTAAATGTTGGTTTCTATGCATTTGACTATTTTTGTTATTTCATATAAGTGAGATCACAGAATATTTGTCCTTTTGAGATTGACTTATTTCACTCAGTGTGTTTTTAAGGTTCATCCATGTTGAAGCATGTACTAGGACTTCTCTTTATGGCTGAATAGTATTCCATTGTGTGTATGTACATTGTGTTTATCCATTCATCCACTGATGGAAATTTAGGCTGTTTCCATCTTTTGGCTATTAACAGTGTTGCAATGAACACTGGTGCGCATGTGTCTGTGTCACTGCTTTCAGGTTGCTTGGGTATATACCTAGGAGTGGAATTGCTGGGTCATATAATGGTTCTATGTTTAACTTTCTGAGGAACTGCCGAACTGTTTTCCACAGCAGTTGTACCATTTTGCATTCCCACCAGCAATGGGTAAGTGTTTCAGTTTCTCCAACATCCTTGCCAACATTTGTTATTTTTTGTTTTTTTTTTCAATCTTTTAGCCATCCTTGTGGGAGTGAAGTGGTATCTCATTGTGGTTTTGATTTGCATCTGTCTAATGGCTAAAATAATGTTGAGCATCTTTTCCTGTGCTTGTTAGCCATTTGAATATCCTCCTTTGTGAAATGTTGATGTTGATTTTGTGTGATATTAATATGGCCATTCCAGCCTTCTTATATCATGCAAATTGTAAGCATCTTTTTCTCCCCATTTACTGTGAACCTGCCGATCTGTTCTTTATATTTAAAGTGCATCTTTTGCCTCAAACTCTGTCTTGTGGTTCTTCAAGTCAGTAAGACTGCTGGTTTCTATCCCAGTTTTTAGGAGTCTGTGTGGTGCTGACTAGGGCCTGCCCTCAGGCAAAAAAGCCATAAAAGCTAGAAACTTACCCAGTGTTCTTCCTTTTTTCCAAGTGACGACACCCTCCCACTTTCTGCATGCCTTTTTCTCCAATGCTTTTAAGTAGTTGTACAGTGAAACCTGTGAGAGCCAGAACTTGACGGGACTGTCTTGTTTTCTGGGTCTCGCCAGTTTCCCACCTTTGACAGGGTGCAGTCTTACCACTTTTCTACTGCTCTCTATTAGTGGAAAATATTTGAGTTTTCCTTCTCTGACAACTTTCCGCCTTAAACAGATTCTTGCTTTCACGGCTTTTGCTGTTATTTTGTTCAGAGTTTATTACCTGCAGGAGGGTTGGTTCAATAGGAGCTACTTGGCCATTACTAGAAGCCGAACTCAAGCAGAATCTTACATAGGACATCCATAAGACAGATAAAAGATGGGGTGGACTAGCCAAAACTAGGGTGCCTCCCCCATCACCTGGTTTGATAAGTGGGCACTGGTAAAAGGCCCTTAACATATAGGGAACTTAAGAAACAGCATCTTACCTGAGAAAAATATTCTTCTGAGATGCGTGCAGCCCACTCAATGCAGAACTCCAGGGGTCGACAGGGGTTGGACACATCAGCACACTTAATCAGCATTCGTTTGATCAGAATCCGGTTCTCTGGTGTCCTGAGCATAGTGTTTATTGCTTCCTGATCTTTATCGGTTTCCTAAAACATGAATGTAATTCAAAGTAATCAAAATGGACCACCTGGTGCCAAGTTCTCTCTTACCAGTGTGGCTCCATTATAAGCACAAAAAGGCATTTGCTGGGACCCGTAAGTTAAGGGTCCCACAAAACAGAGTGCTGAAGGTGCTCTGAGCATTTATCTTGGCTTTTCATTTTACAACAAAGGAGAAAATCAAGGCCCAGTGAGAGTTCAGGAGTAGATGGTAGCAGCAGGGGTTGATGTATCTGCCCTTTCCCTTCTTCTTGGCTCTTCTGTTCCTCTCACTCCAAATCTTTCTCACCGTTGCCTTTTCTTTGTGTTCCACTCTCTCTCTCTCCTTTGGTAATAAAGAACTCAAAGACTAGTTTTATCTTGTATTATATATTTACTAAGAGGAGTGTGAGCTGAAGAAATGAAGGGCTCTTCTGGTCCCCAGGTTCCCTGCTTCTCACAACCCAATCCCCAACCCAGCAGTGTGATAGCTGAGATCCTGGGAATTTGTCTTTAGTGTACCAAGATTATTACATATATAATGATACTCCCTCACTTTGCCTTAACATTTTATGGTGTACAAACAGTCATCTATTTTGACCTGCACTCACAAGACTGTGGTAGACATGGTAAGCATTATTATTAAATTTTATAGATGAGGACCCTGGGACTCAGATAAAGTGACTCATCCAAAGCTACCCAGCCGAGCCAGAATGAGAACTTAAGTTCTACCTTTAGTCCTGGGCTGCTTCCACTCACAGTACCATATGCTGTCTGCTTTACAAGGAGCCCCACTGGACACAGATTCTCAATCCATAGTGTAATGAAGTTGGAAGAGGGAGTACTGGGGCAGAGAACACTGTCAAAGGTGAATAAAAACTCGTTTTTTTCATTCTGATTCCATGCCCATCAAGCAATCATGTGATTCGAATGTATAATGGCACCAGTCCAAGAAAGCCTGATGGGCCGATCTTAGTGGGCACAGATCTGTCATTAAGATGAGCAGGTGGCATCCTGAGCCTAGGCTGCCCAGTCTCCCAGAGTACTAGGATGGACTCTACCAAGGCTGCCTCAGTAGCTCTCCTTGCTCCAAGGTTCTACTGCCAATCAGCTTTGTGCTTACCCTTCTTCTTCAGATGTGTTAACAACTTTGGTAAAACTGGAGTTCAGTGCTGCCAGCCTGGAAACTACTCTCTTTCAGGTTACTGTGTCTCTGCTCTGACCCACTAGGTGTTCATTTCCAGTCTAACTCTCAGAAGTAACACCAAGTACTAACAACAGAGATGAGAAACATGATTGTCAAGTGGAGCAGAGGACTCAGCTGAGTCTGGGAGCTGCCTATACTAAATGGAGAAAAACAAGCCTATGAGGTATGTGGCTTCTTTCTATGGCACCCGGTCACCCAGGAGCAGTGGCTGGGCAACAGACAACCAGCCCCATCCAAGAGGGCAGGTCAGGGGCTAAAAAAGAGGCTGGTGTGGGCACCTCTACATTAGAAGTCCTTGGAAGGCAGTGAAGTCAGCAGCAAGATGATAAACTGGTAGAACATGGAAAGGTGAAGGGAACAGGGTCCTCAACAGGTTTGACCATCAGGTTCAGCAGGAGTACTGTATTTTTATGCAAATAATGCACACCTTCTACATTTGTTTGCCAACTATGTCCACCCCATGTGAGATATTTTCATAAGCGCCTCTATGCCAATTTTTTTTACATGTTGCTGTTTAAAAAAAAAAAAAAATTAGCATAGCACACTTATAAAAATACCTTGCGGCGGGAGGGTGCAGTTGGTGAGCAAATGTAGAAGGCGCAAACGTTATTTACATAAAATATGGAAAGTATGAAAGGGTAATAGGCTAAAAAACTAGACAGTAGACAAAGGCCATGGCCAAACAAATGAGATGCTTAAGTAAAATGGAGTTAAACATCAAGGAATTGTGATCCTAGCCTGATAGGCTAAGTCATCCCTGTGCATGGTAAAGTCTCTCAGGATGGTGATAGGAGTTGGGGAGGAGAGAAATGGAGAAGACTGTGAGCTGGTGAATGTGGGGGCCTCAACAGAAGAGTGTTCATGAAAGAACATATTCTCCAGGTTGCTGATCTCACAATGACTATAGTATAAAAGGTACCATTTATTAAGTACCTATCATGTGCCATGCCTGTCTGTCCTATCCATTGAGATTATCTCTACACTATAGACAACGCTGTCAGTGATAGGATAATATCCATATGCCGACAAGGATGACCAGTTAATACGACTATTATTCAAATTTATGCACCAACCACTAAAGCCAAAGATAAAGAAATGGAAGATTTTTACCAACTTCTGTAGTCTGAAATTGATGAAACATGCAGTTAAGATGCATGATAATTACTGGTAATTGGAATGCTAAAGTTGGAAGATATGGCCTTGGTGCTAGATGATAGAATTTTGCAAGACCAATGACTTCTTCATTGCAAATACCTTTTTTCAACAACATAAACGGCAACTATACATGTGGACCTTACCAGATGGAATATAGAGGAATGAAATTGACTACATCTGTGGAAAGAGATGATGGAAAAGCT